AGCTCAATGATATTATTTCAATTCTTTATATGTATTGAGACTGGTTCTGTGGCGTAACATGTTTTATTCTAGAAAATATTCCAAGTGCTATATTCTGCAACTGTTGGATGAAAGGCCCTCTTAATGTTGGTTAGTTCTTTTTAATCTATAGTTAAACTTTGCTATTCCTTTGTTATTTTGTTTTCTTGGGGTGATCTGTTCAATGATGGAAATGCTATCTTAGTCTTCCACTATTGGATACTATATCTGCCTTTAGGTTTAATAATGCATTTTTCATAATAGTGTGTGCTCTGGCATTAGGTGAACATACACTTGCAATTATTATATTTTCTTGATTAATTGATCACTTGATTAATATAGAGTGACCTTCTTTGTCTCCTGTCAAATTTTTTGTCTTTAAGTATATTTTTTCCAATATAAGAATATCCACTCCTTTTTTGCTTTGGTTTTGTTCTTGTTGAATATCTTTTTTCCATTTTTCAACTTCATTCTGTGAGTTTCTTTACCAGTGAAGTAAAAGGGAGTTTCTTGCAGTCAGAATAACAATGGGTACTTTTCTTCTTTGGTGGGAGGACCAGAGATTGAACTCAGGGGCTCTCAATAACTGAGCCACATCCCCAGCCCTTTTTTGTATTTTATTTAGAAACAGTGTCTCACTGAATTGCTTAGCACCTCGCTTTTGCTGAGGCTGTCTTTGAACTCTCAATCCTCCATGCACCACCACGCCTGGCAGGTGTTTTTATTTATCCATTCAGTCCATCTCTTTCTTTTATTTGGAATATTCAGTTTGTTTACTTTTGAGGTTACTATAGATAAGTAAAGACTTCTATCATTTTTGAAATTATTTCTATTTGTTTTAAATGTTGTTTATTGTATTTTCTTACTCATCTTTGTGTTTTGTTGACTTACTCTATTGATAAGACTCCATTTTTATGTTTCTTTTCTGTGACTACCAGAGTATTTTATACATTTATGTGTTCTCAAAACTTTTACTATATTTCTTTAAATTCTGAATTTATTACCCTCTTAAAAAATCTTTTGTAAATTTGTTCTGGTGATGATGAAGTCTATGTTTTTGCCTGCCTAAAATGTCTTTAATTATCTTTTATTTTAAAAGGATATCTCTTCTGGATATAGTACTCTTGGTTGAGTTATTTTCATTTCTATCTTAGAATATGCCATTACATACACTTTGGTCCTACAAAGTTTGTGCTAAGAAATATACAGGTAATCTAATGTGGATTCCCCCAAATATGATGTGGTGATTTCCTCTTGAAGTTTTATGCTCTTGGTAGTTATCTCTGTCTTATGTTCTTGGTAGTTGGATTATAATACTCTAGAGTTAGGATCTTTTCTGGCAATGTCTATTGGGGTCTTATATACCCCTTTTATCTAAAAGTTCATACCTTTCCCAAGTTACGTAAAGTTTTCAGCTATTTCATTATATAGGTTTTCTATGCTGTTCCTTCTTTGTTCTCCTTCAGATAATTCCAAAATGTGGATATCTGTTTATTTACTTGCATCCCAAATGTCTCACAGATTTTCTTCAATCTTTCTTCTTATTTTTATTTTTTTGTCTGACCATAATATTTCAAAAAGTCTGTGTTCAAGCTCTAATAGTCTTTGTTCTGCTTAATCTAGTCTGTTGTCTTTCAACTGAATTTTTAAAAATTTGACTTATTGATCTCTTCAAGGTTTGTCTCTCAAGATCACTAACTCTTTTCAGATTCTCATACAATGCATTGATTTAAAAAATTGTTCAGCTGTCTGTATTTTCTGGAATCTTATTGAACTTCCTTAAAATAATTCTATGAATCAGATATTTAATCAATATAATTTTCTTTTGGATCTATTCCTGAAGTATTGGGGATCTTTCATGTTACTATACATATTCATATTCTTGTGTTCCTATGTTGATATTTGCATATCTGGTGCATCACTTATCTCTACCACTTTAACAAAGTTTGACTGTTTTATTAAACTGCTTTCTACTTAATATGGTCTTTTGTATGAAATGTTGGATTTGGTTCCAGCTAGGATCCTTAGGGTAATAACCCTACAGCCTTGTGGCTATAATTATTCACTATATACACCATAGATGCTGTGGTAGAGTTCAAGGGATCCATTCTCTCTGGGGATACATAGTTATTGGGACACTCTTATAATTAATAAAGTTGTGTGCACTACAGTATATATTTTTTTTCACAGTGATAATTGGAATGGTGGCACCAGTCAGGCGATAGATGATTTCTTAGAAACTGCTGAGTGAGCTTTGTTCCTGGCAAGGACCCATGGAAGTCCCACAGCATTGGGAAAAACTGAGATCAGTCGGTAGCACAAACACATACATTTTTCAGGGAGAGGTGATGGGGAATAAGTAGTAGACTTCTGTGGTACCTTTTCCCAGTCCTGAAATTATCACACACTCAGATGTAGTATTGTTGAGCATCTGTGTTGCTGGATCAATAAGAGAGGGATGTGCACCCAGAGGCAATGTGCACCCAGAGGTGGCATTAACAATAATACCTAGAGTGAAGGCTGATGGGCTCACTGGGAAAGGAGCATGTATGCCCAGAGAGTTTGTGGGGGTGGATTTTGATGAAACTTTGGGGGTAATTCTTAGCCCCAAAGGGGAGGATCATACAGTCCTAAGTAGTGTAGGTGCAGTGATTGTGGCGGCAGGAACTATGGAACTGGCTGCTGACTCCAGTGAAAAAGTAGGGTGCTCACACTTGGGGTAATGTGGCTGGATGTTATCATACAGGTGCCAGCCTTCAGCCTTGGCATTGGCAAGGTCCACTTCTGGATGGCCATACCATTATTCCTAGTAGACTAGAACCCTTGATTTTCTGTTCTTGATGGCACTTTCCTGCTTATCCCTTTCTAATATACAGGTAAGGATAGGGTTTGATTGCTGGGATCACAGCTCCTCTTCTGGGTCGAGTTGGGGTTGTAAGACTGCAATCCTCCCTGCCCATATTGTGCAATGTCTGCAGCAGTTTCAGAAATGAAAATATGTGCATGTTTCTGGCCCCAAGAATAGCATGAATTTGGATAGCTCATCTCTCAAGATGATGCCCAACCACAGGACCCTAGGCTTTGTGGAATTGCCTGAAAATGACATGAGATTCTTTTCCAAATTAAAGCTATTATACAGACTACAGATTTTTCCTCTAACTGGCCTGCAAGCATATGATGGTTGCAAAGCTTTCCAGTAGCTAGGATTTCTGCCATCTGTGCTGTGGAGTTTACCAATACACTCTTTACCCTGAAATGGGGAGTTCTCCTTCCCCTAGCTACAAAGCTGGTGTCAGTTGCCAGGGTTCTGTGTTTCTCTTTGCTATCATTCCCAGGTGTAGAGTCTCACAAAGTTCCCATCTCTCCATTTTTGGGCTCCAGTGTTTTCCCATGGTCATTCATCTCAAAATGCAGCTATACAACTGCTGATTTCATTCCTCTTTGTGGGAGGATGTGAGTGCTGGGAATTATATTCATTCGTCTTCAAGGACTTATGTCACTTTTTAAGTAACTCAGTTTTCCTTATCTTTTATATGAAAATAAGTACACCTATTGTGAAGGATTGGGGGAAGCTTAAATGAGATTATGCATGGGATTCCTTGTTCACAGTTTCTGGCATATATTAGGTAGCTGATAAATCATGGCTAGTATTGATCCTGGATTTTGTGTCTATATCATCTGGAACATAACTAACATGTCTTATAATGGACACTATGCAAATGTATTTAGTATTGAACTATAGGGTAAAATTTCAAATTGTGACATAATTCAAACTGAGGGAAATCCAAAAGTGGCTATGATCAGTAATTTTCTGTATAGTTTCTTTGTTAAATATTAAATAATTTTCCTGTCTTCATAACTTAAATAAAAAGATGATAACAGTGAACCACAGCAATTTAGAAATAAATATTTTAAAAAAGCTCTGAGGTAAATGACCAAATTAAGGAACAGAGTACGGATAAGGAAATTAAGGATAAGGACTTTAATTTTATACCCTTTCCCACATTCCAATCCTTTATGGTCCTTATACCAATTATTTACATGTTTCATTTCATTTATTCTTGACAATGATACTGTAATATGTTGATTACCCTGACTTCTAAGATAAGAAAATATGTTCAGAAAGTTTTGGTGCCCTGCTCCAGGGGGCATAGGTTAAAAATTTCCAAAAACAATTATTTGAGCTGAAATAAGTAGGACTCCAAATTAGAAGTTTAAGTGGACTAGAAGTTTCCAGAGTGGAAATGCAAGATTTGACAGAAATCCTAACTTCATCTCAAATATAATTGTAAGGTCCTGAGAGAGACCCTTGAGAAACCACAGAAACTGACCTAGTACAAATCCTGAGTCCTTTAAAACTCAAATAACCGTGGTTCCTAAACAATGTGAAACAAATGAGTAGGTTTAACAATATAATAAATAAAACTCAGATGGATGGTAGTTAAGGCAAATAAGTGGTTCCTTTGGGAATTGTCTTCTGTACTAGAATCTTCTAGAAAGCTATAGATCCAAGGAAATATAATAACTTGATTTTACAATGTGCCAGATCATGTAAGGAAACATTTGAATTCAGTGAGATCACACTGTGTTATTGAATACAAGCCATTGAACCCCAGTTCTGTAAAAGATGTCTACTACTATTAAGTTGCAGTTTCTTCTGGGGAGGACAAATATTAGTGAAGCATTTTCCATGTAAGACATTAGGAACTCTTTTTTTTTTTAATTTTTTTAATATTTATTTTTTAGTTTTCGGCGGACACAACATCTTTGTTTGTATGTGGTGCTGAGGATCGAACCCTGGCCGCACACATGGCAGGCAAGCGCGCTACAGCTTGAGCCACATCCCCAGCCCCAGGAACTCTTGTTCACAGTATGCTTTCAACTACAGAGTGTGTTTAAAGCCAGCAAAAGAAAATTATGCTTTTCATGAAAATATCTCTATTTCTTTAAGATTACAGAATGAAATGAACAGAGGTATGTACCTGTATAAGCAAAGTTGAAAGGCCTCGTAAGTGGAACATGATGCTTGGGAGCCACTGTGGGATGTGAGGGATACAAGAACACACCATCATCACCTAGCATCTCCACCAGTTCTTTATGCAGGCTTTCTTCAACTGCCTTAAACTTCTTGTATTTCTCTTTGTTATATTTGAGCTTTTCCTCGAACAGAGCCAGTCCTACAAAATAATAAATATCAATTTAAATAAAGAAATAATTTTAATTACTATTGTCCATTGTCTTTTCTTATACAAATAACACATGTACATTACAGAACACTAAGAAAATGATAAAAATAAAACCTTATAACCTTATGATCAAAACCTGAGAATTTTTGTGCGTTTACTGTTAACTCCTTCATATCTTTTAAAATAATGCTACTTATAGGATTACTAGATTTTCCTGACAGTGTATTACATAATTAATATTTTCATATAAAAACCAATTATGTACATGTTTTAATATTAACTGTATACTATTTTAATCAAAATAATGTACCATAGTATTATTCTTTAATGAGAACATTATTTTGAACATGAAGACTATTTTTTAAAAACTCAATTCTATATTAAAAATATACACTCACAAAACTCTTAGCAATATTTTATGATAGAATTATATACCAAATAAATGTATCTTTTAGAGCTTATAAACAAATTTAGTAAAATAGTAGAATATAAGATCAAGGTACATAAATCAATCACTTTCCTGTACTCCAATAATGAATCTGCTGAAAAAGAAATTAGGAAAACTATCCCATTCCCAATAATCTAAAAAAATACTTGGAAACTAATCTAATGAAAGATGTGAATGACCTCTCCAATAAAGACTCAGGCACTCCCTGATTCCAGATGCTCCACAGAAGGTTCAGTCTTCTCACCCTGGTTAACTACACCATCCTGAGGGCCAAGACACCAGCTTAAAACAGACAACCCCACCTATTGGATGAGAAGACAAGCAGGAAAGAAATGGATCTCTAAGACTATTTTCTTTTCTTCTTCTTCTTTCTCTTCTACCCTTCTATCCTCTGGCCCTCACATCCCCAACATATGTAAAACTAAGAACTTTGCATGAAATAGGACTTTGAGGACTGAGTTAACTGAATAATATAATATAGAGGAGTTGCATAAGCCCGTTTTTAATTTTTTTTCTTTTTCTTTTTCTTTCTTTCTCATTCTTCTTCTTTCACCCTGCAAGTTTTACTATTTTCACATCCTGTATTTTTCTAAATGCATGTGAGTTTATTTTATGTACTCTACTGTCTTCCCACATAATTGTCTACCCTAAATTACTTCCTGTCTAGAAACCTGCTACTAACCCTCATCATTAGATTTTGCCTTCACATTTCCTAAGATATATTAAATCTATACCCTCACATCTTTTCCCCTCAGCATATTGTCCTATACCTGATCCATCACCAGAAATTGTAAACCTTTTTATGAAACTACTGATTATATTTTAAATAATAATTGAATTCAAAATTTCTGCACATTTATTCTAAATGTCTTAATAACAAAAATTTGTTCATAGGTGATGCATTGTGGATATTGGGATCTGTTAACATTGTCCTTCCCCACAAAGGAGAGATCTTGGAGCACTACAAGAGCACTACAAATCTATAGGGTTAAAAACAGTTATACAAAAGATCTAAAGAGCTGGGAAGGAAGACATATGAGGAACATGAAGAGACAATGGAAGAAAGTACCACAAACAAATCAAGATGACACATCATTAGAAGCATTGGCAGCTTCAGCAGAAAATATAACAGAGAAAGATTTCATGGTTAAAATGTTTTGGGAATTCAAAGAAGACATAAGAGAATAAATACAGGCAGTGAAAGATCACTTCAACAAAGATCTACATAAACAAATCCAAGAAGCAAAAGATCACCTGAAAAGGGAGATAAAGGTTCTAAAAAAAAGCAAACAGAAATCCTTGAAATGAAAGAAATAGTAAACCAAATTAAAAACTCAAATGAAAGCATCACCAACAGAGTATACCACTTAGAACATAGGATATCAGACAATGAAGATAAAATAAATCATCTTGAAAAAAAACATAGATAATAGTGATAATGGTAAGAAACCATGAGCAGAATATTAAAAAATATGGGATAGCATAAAAAGACAAAATTTAAGAGTTATTGGGATAGAGGAAGGCATAGAAGTCCAAACCAAAGGAACGAGCAATCTATTCAATGAAATAATATCAGAAAACTTTCCAAACATAAAGAATGAATTGGAAATCCAAATTCAAGAAGCCTACAGGACACTGAATATACAAAATCATAACAGATCTATAACAAGGCACATTATAAGGAAAATGCCTAAGATACAGAATAAAGAGAGATTATATATAGGGGTTAAACAATTAGGATAATGGCAGATTTTTCAACACAGACCCTGAAAGCTAGAGGATACTGAAATAACATATATCAAGCTCTGAAAAATAATGGTGCCAATCAAGAATCTGGTATCCAGCAAAATTAAGCATTAGATTTGAATATGAAATAAAAACCTTCCATGATAAACAAAATTTAAAAGAATGTATAGCTAGAAAACTGGCATTATAAACCATCTTTGGCAAAATATTTCATGAAGAGGAAATGAAAAACAGCATTGAAATTCAGCAGAGGGATGTAGTACAGTAAAGAAAAACCTAATCAAAGAGAAAAACCAATTCAAGTAAAATAACAAAAAATAAACAAATATGGCTGGAAATACAAACCATATCTTAATAGTAACCCTAAATGTTACCATTACCTAAATGTTAGTGGCTGAAACACACCAATAAAAACACATAGGGTGGTAGATTGGATTTTAAAAAAGACTAAACAATATGCTTCCTCCAGGAGACTCATCTGATAGAAAAATACATACACAGACTGAAGGTGAAAAGTTGGGAAAAATCATACCACTCACATGAACTGAGGAAGCAAGCAGGGGTTCCCATACTCAAATCAAATAAAGTAGACATCAATCCAAAGTTAATCATAAAGGACAAAGATGGACATTACATACTGTTCAAGGGAACCATACACCAACAAGACATAACAATCATAAATATATATGTCCCAAACAATGGTGTAGCTATGTTCATCAAAAAAACTCTTCTCAAGTTCAAGAGTCAAATTGACCACAATAGAATAATCTTGGGTGGCTTTAACACACCTCTCTCACCACTGGATATATCTTCCAAACAAAAGTTGAATAAACAAACTATAGAACTCAATAATACAATCAATAACTTAGACTTAACTGACATATATTGAATATTTCAGCTGATAGACTTTCTTCTCAGCAGCACATGGATCCTTCTCTAAAATAGACCGTATACTATACCACAAAGCAACTCTTAGCAAATACAAAAAAGTAGAGATACTACCATGCATTTTTCAAATTGTAATGGAATGATATTGGAAATCAATGACAAAATAAAAAATAAAAATCTCTCCATCACCTGGAGACTAAACAATATGCTACTGAATGAACAATGGGTTACTGAAGACATCAAGGAGATTAAAAACTTCTTAGAGGTAAATGAGAATATAGACACAACATATCGAAATCACTGAGACACTATGAAAACAGTACTAAGAGGAAAATCCGTTGCATGGAGTTCATTCCTTAAGAGAAGAAAAAAGTCAACAAATAAATGACCTCACACTACATCTCAAAGCCTTAAAAAAAGAAGAACAAAGCAGCAGCAAAAGCAGTAGAATGTAAGAAATAATTAAAATTAGAGCTGAAATCAATGAAATCAAAACAAAAAAAATTGAAAAAATTGACAAAACTAAAAGTTGGTTCTTTGAAAAAGTAAAGAAAATTGACAGACCATTAGCCATGGTAATGAAGAGAAGGAGAGAGAGAACTGAAATCACCAGCATATGTCATAAAAAAGCTAATATCACAACAGACACTACAGAAATACAGAGTATAATTAGAAATTATTTTGAAATCTTATACTCCTATAAACTAGAAGCTATTGAAGGCATCAACAAATTTCTTAAGTCATACGACTTTCCCAGATTGAGTCAGGAAGATATACACAATTTAAACAGACAACATCAAGTGAAGAAATGGAAGAAACCATCAAATCTTACCAACCAAGAAAAGCTCAGGACTGGATGGATACACAGCCAAGTTAAACAAGACCTTTAAAGAAGAACCAATACCAATTCCCTTCAATTTATTTCAGGAAATAGACAAAGAGGCAGTAAATCCAAACTCATTCTATGAGGCCAATATCGTCCTGATCCCCAAACCAGGAAAAGATACATAAAATAAAGAAAACTTCAGACCAATATCTCTAATGATCATGGATGCAAAAATTTTCAATAAAATTCTGGCAAACTGAATACAAAAACATATCAAAAAGATTGTACCACATGATCAAGTGGGATTCATCCCAGGGATGCAAGGTTGTTTCAACATATGGAAATCAATAAATGTAATTCATCACATCAATAGACTTAAAGATAATAATCATATGATCATCTCAATAGATGCAGAAAAAAGCATTTGACAAAATACAGCACCCCTTCATTTTCAAAACACTAGAAAAATTAGGGATAACAGGAACATATCTCAATATCATAAAGGCTATCTACACCAAGCTTCAGGCCAACATCATTCTAAATGGAGAAAAATTGAAGGCAATCCCTATAAAAACTGTAACAACACAGGGATGCCCTCTTTCACCACTTCTATTTAACATAGTTCTTCAAACACTGCCCAGAGCAATTAGAAAGATTAAAGAAATTACAGGGATATGTATAGGAAAAGAAGGACTTAAACTAGCACTGTATGCTGATGATATGATTCTATACCTAGGAGACCCAAAAAACTCCACCAGAAAATTTCTAGAACTAGTAAATGAATTCAGCAAAGTAGCAGGATATAAAATCAACACCTATAAATCAAAGGCATTTCTGCATATCAGTGACAAAACTTCTGAGAAGGAAATGAGGAATACTACCCCATTCACAATAACCTCAAAAAAAGATACTTGGGAATCAACAAAAGAGATGAAAGATCTATACAATGGAAACTACAGAACCCTAAACAAATAAATCAAAGAAGACATTATAAGATGAAAAGATGTACCTTGCACTTGGATAGGCAGAATTAATATTATCAAAATGACCATACTACCAAAAGCACTATACAGATTTAATGGAATTCTGTTCAAAATCCCAATGGCATTCCTCATAGAAATAGGAAAAGCAATCGTGAAATTCATCTGGAAAAATAAGAGACCCAGAATAGGTAAAGCAATCCTCAATAGGAAGAGTGAAGCAGGAGGCATCACTATACCAGACCTTAAACTATACTATAGTGCAATAGTAACAGAAACATCATGGTATTGACACCAATACAGATTGGTAGACCAATGGTACAGAATAGAGGACCCAGAGAAACCCACAAGCCTACAATTATTTTATATTACACAAAGGTGCCAAAAACATGCACTGGAGAAAAGATAGCATCTTCAACAAATGGTCCTGGGAAATTGTAAATCCATATGTAACAAAATAAAATTAAACCCCTAACTCTCACCATGCACAAAACTTAACTAAAAATGGATCAAGGAATTAAACCAGAGACTCTGTGTTTAATAGATGAAAAAGTAGGTCCTAATCTTCATCATGTGGGATTAGGCCCCAACTTCCTTAATAAGACTCCTATAGTACAAGAAATAAAACCAAGAATCAATAAATGGAATGAAATCAAACTAAAAAGTTTCTTCTCAGCAAAAGAAACAATCTGTTTGGTGAACAGAGAGCCCATATCCTGGGAACAATTTTTTACCCCTCACAATCAGGTAGAGCACTAATCTATAGGGTTCATAAATAACTCAAAAAGCTAAGCACCAAACTAACAAATAACCCAATCAACAAAATGGGCCAAGGACCTGAATAGATACTTCTCAGAAGAGAATATACAATCAGTCAACAAATATATGAAAAAATGCTCATCATTTCTAGCAATCAGATAAATTCAAATCAAAACTACTCTAAGATATCATCTCGCTCCAAACAGAATTGCAGCTATTTTAAAGACAAATAAGTTAGAGAGGATGGGGGGTGGGAAGGTACACTCATACATTGCTGGTTGGACTGCAAATTGGTACAGCCAATATGGAAAGCAGTATGGAGATTCCTTGGAAATCTGGGAATGGAACCACCATTTGACCCAGCATTCCCTCTCCTCAAACTATACCCAAAGGACTTAAAAAACAGCCTACTACAGGGACACAGCCACATCAATATTTATAGCAGTACAATTCACAATAGCTAAACTGTGGAACCAACAGAGGTGCCCTTCAGTGGATAAATGAATAAAAGAACTGTGGCACATATACACAATGGAATTTTACTCAGCATTGAAAGTGAATAAAATCACGGCATTTGCAGGATGGCTTTGGAGAAGATAATGCTAAGTGAATTTAGCCAATCCCCAAAAAACAAATACCAAATGTTTTCTTTAATATAAGGAGGCTAATTCATAGTGGGGTAAGGAGTGGGAACATGGGATAATTAGATGACTTCTAGATATAGAAGAGGGGTGGGAGTGAAAGGGAGGGGGCAGGGGATCAGCAAGGGCTGTGGAAGGTGATGGACATCATTATCCAAAGTACATGTATGAAGACTCCAATTGGCTGTCAACATACTCTCTATATAAACAGAGATACGAAAAAATACAGTATATATGTATAATAAGAATTGTAATAAAAAAAACAAAAGAAAGTACATGTATAAAGGTATGAATTGGCATGAACATACTCTATATACAAAGATATGAAGAAGTGTACTCTATATGTGTAATAAGAATTATAATGCATTCCGCTGTCATGTATTTTTTAAAAAATGAAATCAATGAAACAAAAAAAGTAAAATAAAAATAAATACTTTTACAAATGTCTTAAAAATAAATAAAAGAAAAAACAACTATAAAAATAATAAAAAAATCCAGTAGAATAGAGGGAAGTGAACGGGGGAGGGAGGAAGGGAATGTAAGGGGATGTACCGGTGACTGAATTATATTTTCCATTATTTTATAATTATGTCAAAATTAATCCTATTGTCTTATTTAACTAAAAATAACTAATAAAAAAAGAAAAAAGTGAATCATGATATTATGTATAATTAGGATTCAATAAAAAACAAAAAAGCTCAATACTGTATTAAAAATCTTCATTCACAAAACTTCGTAGCAATACTTCATAATAGAATTTTATTTGAAAGAATGTATCCAATATATGTTCAAGTTTTTATTTATTTCATAAAATTTCATACACATACATGCAAATTAAGTACCCTGTAAGTGCTTAATAAATGTTAAAATACTTAGCACTTAACATTAAATATTTCTTTGTTTTAAGATAAAGTTTAATATTTTAAAAAACAATTTTTTCTCATTATGAAAGGAACAAATAAGTCACAGAAAACCAGGTAAATTTCATATATAAAAATTCAAATAGAAATATAATTCTCAAGGGAAACATTTATAAACATATTATTTCAGTTCATGTAACAATTGTACTAAGTGCAATTATTAAATCTTATAATACAGTTCATACTATATGTGAAAACTTCTACTTCTTCTAATCACCATTATAACATACAAAAATACCTGTGGTATTTATACACTTTCATAAACTTGGCTTTAAATGACTAAAAACAATTCCATCATATTTATTAAAGATAATTTATTTCCTATTCCTCTGTTATTACACCACTGAGTTGTTTCCAAATAACTTATTATAAATCTTGCTGTATTGTTCATCTTTATGAAAAATATAATATATAGTGTATGATAGTTTTATTGGAGTCCAGCTCCAGGGCAAAATGATATGTATGATTTTCAGGCCAAACCATAAACAATTACAAAGGCTTTATCTGGCAAGCTTCACAAGACATGGTGCATAATTAATGCACTGCACTATGTAAAAGATGTAGTAGTCAGTCTCAGACTCCTTTGGCAAGTCATGGTCTTACGCATATTTGTATCACTAAGCAAAGGCTCATGAATTTTTTGATCTTTTTACATGAGGCCTTTGGCATAGTCCTACTTCAGGACTTGCCAGCTCTGGGGAGGAGGGAGAAAACTTGATGACACTTTTACCCATTCTGATGCAATATTCAGAATTTTTTTTTTTACCCCTAGCCCCCCTCTCTCACCCTGTCTTATCACTGGAGTCCACAAACTGTTGAAGACATCTGTTCTGAGATCCTAGAATAGTGAGAAGACCCCCACACCTGAAGGTTTTGTCTCTTGTTATAATACTAAAGTAAGTTATGAAAAATTCACTGTTGCTTCCATTTTGCTTTGCTTTTATTTTCTATCATGACAAATAATAGCTTGGCTATGTCTCCAATGCAAAGGGCCCTTTACATTATTTAGGGAGATAAAACATGTTTTTTTTTTGTTTTGATTAAGCTAGCATAAGACAATTCAAGATTTATTTAAATACTTGATGTCAGTATACTACTTTCCCTCAATTGAATTGTCATGGCTACATACAAGGAAGAGAATATAAGTGACTATCATGCCATCAATATTTTTTTTGAAAAAACTTAACTCTGTCAAATAATATTTGAATATATACTTTAAATGATCTTTTTAAAAAACTACTTCTGTTTCTATCAAAATAACATACCCATTAAAGGCACAATAGAAAACTTTCTGGTAATAGGGATTTCATAAGTAGAACTATGTGATTATAAAAATAATGAAAAGAGTTTCTGTTTATTCAATATTTACTAGGTTCTCAGATCCATATTTCCAACTTCCTTAATAAATGAGAAATTTCTAGTGCCTTCAGAATTCAATATATCTCAGATGCTTTGTGTACACCATGTTATTTAACTGGGAACACGTGAAATGAAATATATTTCACTTAACCCCTCAATTACAAAAATAGCACATAATTTTATTAATCTTATTTTGTAGAGTAAAACAGTAAAAAACTGACAGTATAAACAACTTAATGAGAATAAAGCAAGCAACTCTTTGAAAAAGTTATGATTAAATTTCAGCTTGATGTAATTAAAATAATTTCTATTCACTTCATTTTTCTCAATATAAAGAATGAGCATACCTGCAATATCCAACTCCCTTGCATATTTAAAGGGATGGCACATATATCATGCCAGAAGTACACATTTGGTACTCAATGTACATTTTTTACAATAACAGCAATCATCAATTGTTCAATAAGTGTGCATTAACGATGCTAATTTGGTGAGCTTCTGAACTGAACTTATTGTACAAGAGCAGTGATTACTATTTTATAAGTTGACTCATCAAAATATCATTGAGTGGGATTATTTCTAAGGTCAAATATATTGTCCAAATTTTACATTTAGATATTGAAATCCAAAATACAGAAAATTCTCATCAGATTTAGAAATTGTAATATGAGTGTTTGAAGAGCACTACTTAACTTGGTAGGGATGTAGGCTTACTGCATTATGTATGGTTTCTAATCCAGTAAAATGGTCATCAGAATAAATTTGCAGCAAATGAATGGCATATAATACACAGGACAGTTTTTGATACATAATGATAAACTAGAATATGGTGGGTGTGGTAAAGTTATCCATATGTTGCATCTTTCCTCAAATATTGGGAGTGGTACTCATTAGGATATTTTTGGTAGAATGATCTTCTCTTCCCTTAATATATCAAACAAGTAAATCAAAGAAGATGATTTACATACCAATGGAAGGAATAGTGTATACTGACAGACCCAAGCACCATTTGATCAATTCCCAAAGAGGATTAATTGGTTTCCCATGGTCACCAAGGAGATCCACAAATTTTACAGGTTCCTGAGATGTAGGTAAGAAAGAAAACACAAGAATATTTTCTGTAAAAATAGAGTTAATGAACAAACAGACAATATCATTGGCCATCAGAGAAATGTGAATCAAAATTATAATGTGATATCATCTTTCCCTAGTTAGATTGTTATTACCAAACAACAACAACAAAAACAAATGCTAGTCAGGATGTAGAAAACAAGGAATGCTCATACACTGTTGATGGGAATGTAAATTTATACAATTATAATGGATGCTATTCAAAAAAACTATACCACATTGATCCAGCTATCCCACTTCTGGATACATAATAAAAGTAATTAAATGATCATATCAAGGGGATCATATGCCCATGTTTATTTTCACACTATTCATAATAGTTAAGATATGGAATCAACCTAGTAATCCATCAATGGATGAATCAATAAGTATATACATATATATTTATATTCACACATGTATGTACACATAAACAGACTGAAATATTATTCAGCCTTAAAGAAGAAAAAATCTGCTATTTGCAAGAAAATGAATTGAACTGAAGGAAGTTATGTTATTTGAAGTAAGCCAGACACAGGAAGACAAGTACTACATATTCTCTTTCCTATGTGGTAGTAATTAAAAGCATTTGATGAATGTAGAGTAGTGATTATTAGAGATTGGGATGGATTGTGAGAAGGATGAATGAAGGAAGGCTGGATTTTATCAATTCACATTATAAGCATGTATTCAGATATCACACTAAATCCCATTAATATGTATAATATATACATATTACTCAAAAATAGAACATAATTCTAAAATCATGTGATTAAGACAAAAATGTGTGCAGGAGACTAGCCAAGAAAGCACAACCCTGATTCTGTGCACAAAGTAAAAGATTTTGAAATCCCAGGATTTTGAAAGAAAGAAATGCATAAAAGAGGATAGTACTCCCAGTCACTGATTTCTTTGTCAGTATATATTCACACATATATGTACACATAAACAGACTGAAATATTATTCAGCATTAAAGAAGAAACATAAACATAAAGTTTATACCTGGGATAGAGAAACTGTGGAGAACAGAATCATCATTTTTTTTCCATATGGTTAAATAGTATGTGACTTTGTTCTGAAGTGTTTGTGCTAAACAGGGGTCAGTGGCTTCTTGCAAAATGGTGGTGATAATGGGGATAGCAGTGGACACACATTGAGTTAAAGTATCTATACTTAGATATTCACCCAAGATGAGGCAACTGAAGATAAATAAGTACATGAAATAGTTCATTGGAAAAAAAGACAAAGAAGCAATAAGCATCCCAAGAGTTGGGTAGACATACAAGCAGCATGAAAAAGCAACAAAATGACCCAAACTGACAAGAACACATAGACAATTGACTCCATTTACATTGTAGTAGAGGAAATGTCAGATAAGGAATTTAGAAAGTTCATAGATAACTTGTGCAATGAGCTAAAAAAAAGATGTAAGAATAAAAATTAGAGAGAAAAGACAGGAAGTGAAACATTATTTCAATAAAGAGAGATGATGAAAAAGAACAAAAGAGAAAAAAGGTAAATGAAAAACTCAATCAAATTTAAAAATCAATAGATAGCATCACCAATATATGAGACCACTTTGAAGCTAGATTTTCAGGACTTTAAGAAAAAGAATATGATCCTGAAAATAAAGCTGACAATACAGAAAAGATGCCAAGAGACCATGAACAGAATATTCAAGAAACCTGTGATAATATCAAGAGACAAAATTTAAGAATCATTGGTGTAGATATGGCTCTAAAATAGAAACTAAAGAAATGCACAACCTTTTCAATGAAATACTAGAATTTTTTCAAATTGTAGGAATGAGATTTGAATCCAAATATAATATCCGTGTGGAACTCAAAATAGGCAAGATCAAAAAACATCGTCTCTAAGACACATTTTAATGAAAATGCCTAATATAGAGAATCAGGCTAGAATTTTAAAAGCCACAAGAGAAAAACAGCAAGCCAAATTTAGAGGCAGATCAATTCATATTTCAATTGATTTCTCAGCCCAGATCTTAAAAGCTAGAAGGGTTGCAATAATAATGAAATCAGTAATGAAAGAAAATGGGTGTCAAGCAAGAATACTTCATCCAGAAAACTTGTCCTTCAGAATTAAAGATGAAAGAAAAACCTGTGAGAAACACAACAAAAAGAATTTATAAACACTAAGTCTGCACTACAAAACATATGCAATGAAATATTTCATGCAGAATAAAAAATAAAAATGAAAACATGCATAGGGATGAATTGCACTAGAAGAATAGTTAATTAAAGAAAAATAAATTATGAATTAACCATTAGAAATAAATAAAAATGGCAAGAAATAAAACCTATCTCTGTATGATAACACTGACTGTAAATGGTCTAAACTCTTCAATCAAATGACATAGATTGGCATATTGGATTGAAAAACAAAATCCAAAAATAGGTTGCTTGCAAAAGACTCACCTCAGAAAGACATTGACATATTAAATGCAAAAGATAATGTTTGCTGAAAGTAAGCAGGGTAGTTACTCTCATATCAGATAAAGTAAACTTCAAATGAAAATTAATCAAAAGAGACAAAGATGGTAACATCATAAAGGTTAAAGGAAGCATCAAAAAAAAGAGAGAAAATGTAAATATTCATGCACCCCCTAAACGTGCATCTATGTACATAGACCTTTCCCAATATAAATAATTAAATGGACCATATACTGTAATACTGGGTGATTTCAATAAACTCTCTCACCATGAAATAGGTCATACAGACATAAAATAAGTAAAGATTCTTCATAACTGAAAATACTATTGATCAAATGGACTTAACAGACATTTACAGAATATTTCATCCTTCTATGACTAAATTCACCTTCTTCTCAGAAGCTCATGTAATTTCTAAAATGGATCTTATTTTAGATCACAAAAGGAAATCATTGGAAAAAACAAAGTAGAATTTATTCATTTAATGGAACAAAATAAAAAATAAAAAAAAAACAAGATAAAAATTAGAGAACATTCTAAAATCTGGCAATTAAATAATAGTCTGTATTGAATGATGAATAAACAGTATAAGAAATTAGGGGAGAAGTGAAAAAATTCTTAGAAACGTGGGAATAGTGATACAACATTTTAAAATCTCTGGGAGAATATGAAAGCAATTATAAGAGGACAATTTGTAGCACTGACTTTCTACATCAAAAAATGAAAGATACCAAATTAATAATCTAATTTTAGACTTCAAGGCCATAGAAAAAGAGGAATAAACTAACACCAGAATCAGCAGAAGACAGGTAATAATTAAAATCAGAGCTTGAATTAAAGAAATTGAGACTAAAATAATACAAAGTATAAATAAAACAAATAATTGTTTCTTTGAAAGAATAAGCAAGATTGATAAACTCCTATCTAAACTAACCAAAAGAAACAGAAAATGCAAATAAAGGGATAGAAATAGGAAAAAAAGAAATCTATTTCTCTCTTTGCCCATGACATTATCTTATAATTCAGTGACACAGGACACTTCACCAGAAGAATTCTAGAGTTAGAAGTACATTTAGTAAAGTAGCAGGATACAAGATCAACATGTATAATCAATCACTTTCCTATAATCAGAAAATTAATCTGCTTAAAAACATATTTTTAAAAATTATGCCATTTAAAATGACTCCAATTAAAATAAAATTAACTGGGTTTTGATTTGCATTTCTCTAATTGCTAGAGATGATGAACATTTTTTCATATGTTTGTTGACTGATTGCATTTCTTCCTCTGTGAATTTTCCAGTTCCTTAGCCCATTTATTGATTGGGTTATTTTATTTTTTTTTTTTGGTGTTAAATTTTTTGAGTTCTTTATATATCCTATCTGAGGTGCATGTGGTTAAGATTTTCTCCTCCTTTATATCCAAGGAACTTAAAATCATCATACTACAGTGACACAGCCTCATCAATGTTTATAGCAGCTCAATTTACAATAGCTAAACTATGGAACCAAACTAGATGCCCTTCAACAGATGAATGGATAAAGAAAATGTGGTACATACACAGTGGAATATTACTCAGCCTCAAAGAATAATGAAATTATGACATTTGCAGGTAAATAGATGAAGCTGGAGAATATCATGTTAAGCAAAATAAGCCAAACCCCCCAAAACAAAGGCCAAATATTTTCTATGATAAGTGGATGCTAATCCATGGTTGGGGGCATAGGTAGGTATGAATGAAGGAACTTTGGATTGTGCAGAGGGGAGTGAGGGGAGGGGAAGGGTTGTGAGGATGGGAAGAACAGTGAAAAGAGATGGACATTATTACCATGTATGTTTACAATACCAGTGTGCCTATGTACCATGTACAGCCAGAAGAATGAGAAGTTGCTCTCCATTTGTGTACATGTGTCAAAATGCATTCTACTGTCATGTGGAATGCATTACAATACATTTAAAAGCAAAAAATGGTAAACAAATAAAATACATGGGAATTAATCTAATAAGTAGGTGAAAGACATATAGAGTGAAAACTATAGAACACTGAAAAAAGCAATTGAATAAGAACCCAGAAGATGGAAAGACCTCTAATGTTATTGGATATGCAGAATTAATATTGTCAAAATGGCCATACTACCAAACAATTACAGAAAATCAATGCAAATGCCAAAAAACCCCACAGTGGCATTTTTCAGAGAGCTAGGAAAAAAATTATAATATTTACTTGGGGGCTGGGGTTGGGGCTCAGTGCTACAGCCCCTGCCTCACATGTGTGGGGCACTGGGTTTGATACTCCACACCACATAAATAAATAAAATAATGGTACTGTGTTCATTTACGACCAAAATTTTTAAAATGTTTAAAATTAATTTGGAAGACTTAGAGATTCAGAATAATCAAAGGAATACTGAGAAAGAAGAGCAATGCTAGAGGCATCACAATACCATAACTCAGATTATACTACAGAGTTATTATAACAAAAATAGAATGGTACTGACCCCTAAACAAACATGAAGACCAATTGAATAGAAGACAGAGACAAACCCACATAGATACAGGCAGATGATACATTGCAATAAAAACTATGGATCATAAAATGTCCACATCCCTTTTACTTATTAAAAGCTTCAGGTACCAACTATACAATCTTCCTATTCTGAGGAAATAACTTATTAGTGAGTAATTATGACCACTGGCTCTGTGTCAGGCATCATATTATAGTTAGGAAAAGAACAGATTTTTATTCCCTTCATCTCTTTTCAGGCTTTTAAAATTCAGAACTAATTTTAATAATCATCATGCATGTTAAGGGTCACTCCAAATGTAAAGATTGGAAGTGGACCCTGAATGGGATTTTTGTTACTAATCTTTTCCTTTATTTATGATGCAACACTCTGATTATTGACCTATATCTCAGGCAAACATCCTCAGCTTATAGATTTACATAAACTTCTAGGACATTTCCAAGATGTTTATATGAAGAAAAATGTCTATTTCTTCAAAACAAATTACTTATTATTATATTTTTAAAGTAGTAAGGGGCTGCATGAGTTCTTTTTATTGAGAGGCTGCTACATGTCACACAATTCACAAGAAATATACTTAATCCATATAATAATTCTGTAACATAAGTATCTATCTAATTTTATATCTCTGTTGAGGAATAGGTAAATAACCTGCCTCAGATACCAAAACTAGGAAGTGGCCTGTGATTCAAATTTGGGCCTATTAGTCTGTATATACAATAAAGTTAAAATATAAGCCTTAACTGACTTCCATATTAGGGATGGCCCTTCTCTTTGATCATACAATCATATATTCTTATACCAGAATAGCACTCACTAATCAAAGCTTTTCTTTAAATATTTCATTTTTTTCTTATTTTTCCTATTATTTTCTCTATGTTTTCAAGTATATGACTTGCAAAAGAATCTCAAAAATCACTTATAGAAAGGAAGAAGAAAGAAAAGAAGTGAACATACCTTTCCATCATGCCCCTTTGTTGACATCATTGTAATCCACAACTGAAAAGAATACTTCATTTCCTTCAGTTTAACATGTTGAACTGAAGCACCTAGAATATTTTCAAGGTGGGCCACAACCTTATAAAATAATTATAAAAATAGACAAATATGATAAGAACTTATACCACTGGATAGTGATGTTAGCAAATGGAAGACTATGGAGGTTTAAGTTTTTGTTCCCCTACAGAAATACCAAAAATGACATGTAGACTAATATAGCATTTTGAGACAACCAGAACTAGTTGAGAAACCATGGCAACAAGGAAAATACCTATAAAAGAACACATCAAATTTCTAGGAAATATCATGGCAGTTTTGCTCACCCTGGCCACCCCACTGCATGGGAAAAAGAGCAGTTGGGAGGAAGGTATTTGATTATTGATTCCACCCTCTCTCAGGTTGAAAGTAAAAGAGTAGAACTTGTTTGGAAACTTCTTGTTTGTCTTGGGGCAGCCCAAGGGACTGGTTACTGTCTTCCCTGACTTGTAGCACTGACAGGAATAGTAGCATATTTTGCATATTGGGTTAGAAATTGCTTAATTTAATGGAGTGGTAGGAGCTGTATCATGACTGATCTGCAAAGTTACTGCAGAACTGTGGATGCTTATAGACATAATATTACAGGAAGAGAAATCAAATACAACTAAAGCCTTGAGAATAAGCAGGGGGTAAGATACTGCTGATTATCCCCAGGATCACAATATTGCTTCTAGATCTGTAACTACATACAAGTCCTAGCAGGCCCATGATGGTGAGGTACAAATTTTGACCCACTAGGTGCAATAAACTCCTAAAAAACTTTGTGGTTTTTCAATGTACACAGATAAACATACAAGGTATAGACATATAAATGGATATTAAATATATAGAACAATGGTGAAAGGAACATAAAGTTGGAATGGGCCAAATGTATTGTTATGGTACTACAGCTCATGGGGTTACAAATGGCTCTAAAAAGTTGAGAAAAATGTACTACAAAATGTAGCCTATGGTAAATGAAGTTAAAATTCCAGTCTTCCGGGTGCAGTGGCACACGTCTATAATCCCAGCAGATCAGAAGGCTGAAGCAGGAGGATCATGAGTTCAAAGCCACCCTCAGCAACTTAGCAGGCCCTAAGGAACTCAGTCAGACCCTGTCTTTAAATAAAATACAAAAAGTGCTGGGGATGTGCCTCAGTGGTTAACTGCCCCTGAGTTCAATCCCTGGTATTAAAAAAATCCAGTCCTGGATTGGTATACTACAGAGTAAAAGATACAAAAACTTAGTAAAGATGGACTATTGATTAACATTTCTAAGTGTTTGGATCTTTTACTCTATAATAATTGTGAGAAACATCTTTGAAATGCTCTGTGATCACTTTTCTCTGAAAATCAGAAATTACAAGGGTAAGAGCCACTATTAAACTTGAAAAGCTAAATTCCATAGGGATAACTGTATCCCCAAGTGTCAGAGTTAAAGTGGCAGTACTTAATTGACAAAGGTTTTGTGGGCATAATGCCCACCAAAAAAGATTCTTAGAAGAATCAAAGCAGAAATTAGAATAATCTGTCTCACATGGACATATAGCACTGGCTAGTTGATCATGTTCTTAGCAGTGAAATAGATGAGAATTCCATTATGCAGAAGAGTCTACATCAATTGAACAAAAGTCTAAGTTGGGGAAAGGCAGGATGGTGGAGTGGAAGTTGACCAAAAATCCTGACTCCTCTACAATATGCTGTGAGACAACAGCTGATCAGAGAGGAATGCACTGAGACACAATACTGGTCAGAGTTTTGGAGAGACTCAGAAATTCTGGTTGTTGGAACAGAAAACAAGAAAAAATGTAGACACTGAACAGGGGAAGTTTGGGGGAAGTTTAGCAAAGGGAGGAAAAGAAAAATACAATGCTGATAAGTTTCAGAACTAATAGCAAAAAAAAGAAAGCCAGACCAAGTTAAGCTGGGGAAGAAACTGCAAAGCACTTAGCTAGAAGTGCACAGCTTATCTGAAATTGCTGGTGAAAAACCAGCAGGCAGCCATTTTTGTAGAGACCACACCTAAGCCTACTTTTCTATAAGGCATTAAATTTATATATCTTCACCCCAAATACAGATAGCAACAAATACTATCAAAGGGAATACCTTTTAAATGGGCTGTCTGAGTAATATGTTCATGGACAAGGGGAGTGGCATGCAGTGGAAGAGAGAGCAATACACAATCAGGGAGTATGGCATGGGGTGGCAGCAAGGACCCCAGATACTGCCATAGGTGTATGAGCCACAGCAGACTGCAGAAGCCACCAGGTCTCCACAATGCCACTTGCAGTGCAGATATCAGTCACCATAAAGTGCTCACGAGAAGTGGGCCCCAATAGCCAGTAGAAGACAAGTGCAAACAAGAACCACAATGCATACCACAGGAACACCCCACAGACATGTGTCTCACAGATGTTGGGCACCACAGAGTCTGCTCAGACATATCTACTGACTACAAAGGCCCCAGAAGCCAGCAGAAGCTGCCTGTGGTTGAACACTGCCACATGCACCATGTAGGTAGACTGTAGATATGTGCTGCACAGATGCTGGTGACTGCATGCCCAGATGCAGACCCATCAACACAATTGTTGAAAACAGCTGCCACAGAGCTCCAAAAGGCCACCCAGCAACCCTATCACTGGGCTATTGAATTGATGTGATGTTATCTGCCATTCCCCAAGCATCCCCAAATCTACACAGTTGAGCTCACATCTGTTTTGACAACTCCAGGCACAAAAAAACATTTTTAGAGGTTCACCAAATCTGCATCTTCAATGAAGAAGAGACATGAATGCTAACCCACAGAAAACTTGTCATAGTTTCCTCTGACCCTCCAAAAAAGCTATGGTGCCTGTAAAAACCAAAAAATTGAGGGAGCCTCCTATACTTGCATCTGAAGTGGGCTGGTGAGGTTTCTACCTCCATGAACTAAGAAACATAGAGATAAAGATAGAAGATGTGGGCATTTAATAATCTTCCCCAAAGCTGATGAAATACAAATCTGGAAGGTCTCCCAAAATGTCTCCATCTGAAATGTTCAGCATGATATGTCTTAAAACTCTCTAATGTCAGGATTTGTTTTCATAGCAATATTTTCTGTATTGATTTGATAGGTATCCCTCTATCATTTAATATCAAATGCCTTAATCAAATTCTGTTTCTTTTAATGTTTTAAAACATTAATCATATTTAGTCTTTCTATGTTTATTATCTGTGTTCATATTTATACTCTTTCATCTTTGATATGTCTTTTTCTTCTTGCATTATCTTTTTCTGTTTATCCATCTCCCTATTTTTTTTCTTTTCCCCCTGTTCTTTATGTTTTTCCTTATCATGAACTACATAGTTCAATAGTAATTGTACATTCATTAGTACCTAATTTATCAGCTATTTTTAGAGCATTACTTTCTTATTCCACTGTTGGATTAGTGGAGTTGTGCAGAACCTTTTAAATACTTTTTTAAGTAGATGGTATTAGTCAGCTTTTTGTCATTATGGCCAAAATCCTTTCAAAGAACAACTAGAGGAGAAAAGATTTATTTGGGCTCATGTTTTCAGAGGAGTCAGTAAATGGTCAGCTGGCTTCAAGGTAGAATCATCATGGTGATAGGGCATGGTGGAATATGACAGCCAGAAATCAGAGTAAAAGACAGGAGCAGGAAGGGGAGGGGAATATATATATATAGTCTCCAAATATATACCTCCACTGGCCTCCCTCTTCAAGTCATGAGCCACCTGCCTACAGTTACCATTCAATAGTCCATTCAGATATCAATGGTTTATGGATTAATCTGTCAATGAGTTCAGAGCCCTAATAATTGCCTAAAAGCCTCACTTATCAAACTTGCTGCATGCATGTACTATTGATACATGACTATTGTGGTGACAGTCCAGATCAAAATCATGAGAGGTATATTAGTTTGTGTGTTTGTTCTGATATGATTTTGGGGATTATTATCTCCACTAAAACATTGATGGTGAGTGCACATAGTAGTATGATCATGTTGAGTGGGATTTTTGACATTTACACATATATCCAACATGGCAAAAATAAAGCAGCACATTAAAAACTTCATACGAGTATATGATATAATCATTCCATCCAGTGTGTACAAATCAATATAGAAATACAGGAAATATGAGCAAACAAGGTAAAAACCTGCCCCCCAAAGTACATAAAATTTCAATAACAGATTCAATAGTTATCAAAGCATAGGAAAATAACAGATAAAGAAATAAAAAAGTTGATTGTTATAATAATCAATGAACTAAAAAAAGATCTAAGAAATAAACTAAGGATATAAAAAGCATTATAATATGGAGATACAGATAATGAAAAAGAAACACAGAAAATCTGAAAATGAAAAACCCAATATATCAAATAAAAACCTCAGATTAAAGGCACATTAATAGACTAGATTATGTAGAAGACAGTATTTCAGGCCTTGAAGAAAATATATGAACTTGAATACTCAGAAAAAGAAAGAAAAAGAATACCACGATCAGAACATAAAATAAATATGAGACATTAAGGGACCAAACTTAAAAATCATTGGCATTGAGAAAAGAGTAGAGATACAGGATAATGGCATTCTTAAAGCTATTCAGTAAAATAATCAAAAATTTTCCATATCTTGGAAATTAGATGGTCATCAAGGTACAGGAAGCTTTGAAAATCCCCAAATAAATAAGACCAAAAATATCACTCCACATCATATTATAATTAAAGTGCAAAATAAACAGAATTAACATAAAATTTTAAAATTCTCCAGAGAGAAACATCATGTCCATTGTATAGGCAAGTCAATTAGAATAATATCATATTTCTTAGTAGAAACTCTAAATCCAAATAGAAATAAAACAACATGTTTCAATCCCTGAAAGAAAATGTCTACTAACCAAAACTGCTAAACTCAGCAAAGTTATCCTTCAGAATTTAAAAAGAAAGAAAAACTTTTCAGGATACGCATAAACTAAAAGAATTCATACCTATTAAGTCAGCATTGTTTAAGATACTTAAAAAACTCCTACAAACAGAAGAGAAAAAATGGTATATCATA